TCCTGGGTATCTAAGGGGATGGGGTAATGGCAAGGATTAAAGAATAGGCAAGTGGTCAGACAAAAGTAGAGGGAATAAAGCAGGAATAAGGCCTGGTTTCCTGCATGTTTACTTGAAGGAGGCAGTATAGTATATTGGAAATGTGTGCTAGATATGGTATTAGAGGACCTGGGTTCAAGACCTACCTCGCTTTGTGACCCTGGACAAATCATCTAACCTCTGGGTCTCTGTTTGTTATCTGCAAAATGAAGGGATTGATTAGCTGACCTCTCCAGTCTCTTCCAGTTTCTAAAGCTGTGATCTCAGGACCTTTATAGTGCTTACAAGCAAATCATTTTTGTTTCTCTGTAGGCATTTTGCTGATATGGGGGGTGATAAGTGTGGGACATTGCATATAAAGTCAAATTTTTAAAAAATTTATATTTTTAATGCATGAAATAAAACAAGCATTTCCATAACATAGTAGAATAATTTTAAAAAGATGATTGCACATGAAACTGCAAATTATTATGCAGTTTTAAAAATAAATAAAACCTTTCTAAATAAAGCCTGAGGCAGCTAGGTGATTCAGCAGATAGAATGATGGGCCTGGAATCAGGAAGACCTCAGTTCAAATCTGGCCTCAGACACTTACTCGCTGTATGATTTTGGGCAATGATGTATGATGTTTGCCTCAGTTTCCTCATCTGTAAAAATGAGCTGGAAAAGGAAATGGCAAACCACTCCAGTATCTGCCAAGAAAACCCCAAATGGGGTCACACAGAGTTGTATACAACTGAAAACGACTGAACAACAACAAAAAATAAAGCCTGGAGAAGGGCCATATGCTCTTTCTAAGAATCCTAGGGCAGATAAAACAAGCCTAGTTCTTTACTATACCAAACTGGAAATAATAAAACTAGGGTCTAGAAGGTGGGCAATGTTAAATGGAACCCTGAAGGCAGCACTTGTGAGCCAAGCCCTGGGCTTTCTAGGGACAAAAAGGGTGGCATCATGTGAGCCTATAAAACCACTGAGTCCAGCTCTGGTATTGATTAAAGACTTTCAGCGCAAATAACTGCAGATCCCAATTTAGGACCACAGTCTCAGAAACTAACATACTTTGGGAAAAGGAAGCCCATAATTTATTCAACAAATTTCCATTTTGATCCTTGTATCCTCATCACCAAAAACAGTACACTGAATTGCCCAACAAATATTTGTTAAATTGGACTGGATTGGTTGGACTGGGTCACTCCACCCAGGAGCTAAACCTGAAAAGAACCCACAAGTATGTAGATGTTCTTATCTATTGTTTCTTAGGATAGTTTTGTGTTGTTTTTTTAAAATCTAGCAAGGATCTAAAGTGTGGAGATTTTTCTCTTTTTTGCAAGATGAACACAAAGTAAATTATTGTTGTCTATTGTGCTAGCTGAGTTATGCTTGGTTATTTATCTCCCATTTATTTAAGAAAAAAAGGTTTGGGGCCATTTTTTTCTCAAAGTTATCAGTCACTGCATACAAGGGTTATCCAAGGAATCTGGTTGTTTTTGTTTTGTTTTTTAACAATGCTATTGAAAACAGTTATGATTTCAGATTAAAGTTCTTGCTTCATGATATCTGAGACTTCTGCCGCCTAAATCTCCTGCCAATTTAGAATATTTGGTTGGAGAAATTACCCAGCCTTAAAATGAATGTTGTTGAATGAAGTCTTCCTGAGTTTTTCACCTAAGAAGCAGCAGTCAGGATTTGTGCAGATTAATCTAAATATAAACCAATAAAAATGTGAGTTCTGTTTGTCCTTATGCATGTCAACAAATTTTCAGAACTGTATCTTTTGCTAAAATGTTGCTGAACACTATCCACTGAGCTGGTTTGGGAGAAAACAAAATAAAAACTGTATGAACTTGCAATTTTTAAAAAACTTCCAAGCAAATTAGACTAGGGGCAGGGGTGGGAGGGGGAAAGGACAATGTTTCCAAACATAAATTTCAGAAAATAATGCTCAGGGCTCTTTAGCTATAGAATCATAAGCCTGGAGTTGGAAGGGGCCTCAGGCCATCTAATCTAACTCCCTCATTTTATAAATTAAATTAAAAATAAGATTTTTTTTAAAAAATGAGGAAACTGAGGCTCAAGGGAATTAAATGACTTGTTCAAAGTCACTCAGATAGTATCATCAAAGGTAGGGTTTGAAGCCTGGTTCTCCGAACTTCTAGTAAGGGCTTTTTCTCTTGTACCAGTCAGATTGACTCTTGAGTTGATCTATATGTTGATTGAGTGTGAAAGGACAGACGTCTGAATGCCAAACATAAAAGCAACACAGTGGTAGTAAAGAGCCCTTAAATCAGGTCACTGCCTGATTGTTCATATTTTTCTGATTCACTGATTCACTGATAGCAGCCACTATTCAATTCTACAAGCATTAATTGAGCACCTACTGTGTGTGTGAGGCTCTGTGCTAGATGCTGAGAATACAAAAGCAAAGGGGACTTAGTGGAAATGTAAACAATTTTAAGGTCAAGTTTTGCAACACTGAAGATGTACGGCCACCATGCGTTCTAATTTCCACAGAGCTTTTGGACTCCAAATTCAGTCTTTTGTATGTTTCCTTTTTGTTTTATAGACAGGACAAGGAAGGTGGCTAAAGGCTTCTTAAAATGAGAGAATTCTAAGGTGGCAAAGACTCTTCATTGTCATCTAGTCCGCTTTAATTGAAATCTCCATCTTCATAATTTCCACCGAGTTGTCCTAATGGCATCCTCATAGGCCATATAGGACAAATTTTCTCCCTCTGCCATATGAAAACCTTTGAAATATTTAAATACTTTGGTCATACACCCCTGTCTTCTCTAGGCTCTTGATTCCTTCACTTGCTTTTCATATTACACGATTTCCAATTCTTCACCACCCTGGTTGCCGATGGAGATGTTACAGTTTGTCGATGCCCTTCATAAGCTGTGGTGTCCAATATAATTTGGGACAATTGAAATGAATCAAATAGAAGCATAAAACCTATGCATTAGCATGAGGGAAGGAAACCAAGTGGAATACTTCACTTCATATCCCACTGGCATTCCATTAACTACAAATTTATGGTTTTCAGAGGCAGTATGATTTGTCTCTAAAGCTATGTTACGATGGTCCGTAATGTCAGGTAAATAGATCAGTTAATGCAATCTAGAGAAGAAAGAAGTAGTTCAGTGTGATACAATGGAAAGAGCTCCCTCTCTGTAGCAAGAGGACATAGGTTCACATCCAACCTCTAACATTTATTGCCTGTGTGACCTTGGGCAAGTCATTTATCTGCCTGTACCTCAGTTTCCTTGTCTATAAATTGAGAGGGCAAGTGGCATCTGAAGTCACTTCCAGCCCTAGATTTATAATCTTATGAAGAATAAAAGTGGGGCAGCTAGGTGGCACAGGGTATAGAACTCTGGCCTTGGAATCAGTAGGACCTGAGTTCAAATCCAGCCTCAGACACATAACACTTACTAGCTGTGTGACCCTGGGCAAGTCACTTAACCCTGATTGCCTCACCCAAAAAAAAAAAAAAAAAAAAGCTCTAGGAGCAAAAGAGGTACGTGGAAATTAGGAAATGATGTAACTGAGGAAGGATACTTCTCCCTGGTGCTAGAAGATGTCATCATCATCATCATCTCCAGACCCTAAACTTGGCTTCATGTCCATAGCACAGAAGGACGTGATCAGCCCACTTGGTTTTATCCTGATGGAATCCTATAACTGGCTACGCAGAGGGTTTTAGTCTCCCATCTCATTTGTGCATCTGTGAATTCATTGTTCTTTAAATATCTTGGGCCCTCTAGACTCTCAGAGATACAAATTAATCTGAGATCTAATAGATATGGACTTCACTCTGGGGATGCAGATTGCAGCCCATTCTGTGTTTCTCTTGCCACCTGGTTTTCCATAAGCTTGTCACAGGGACTGCACCCAATGGGTGCCTCACCCAGTTTCTCTTGACATTATGAGAATACTAGTGAGCAGCCAGGCTGCGTTGGTTAGTCATTATTCTTACTTTATGACTCATCCACCATCTTTTTTGATAATATGATAAAATCAATCATTTGTTAAAATTATTAAGAGTACTGAGACAAAAATGAAATGGTACCTGACCTCACGAAGCTTATCTTCTTTAGGGGAAGATGACATGAACACGTGTAAATATACATAGAATAAGCATATACAATATAAATACAACTTATAGCAAGACCTCGTGTAGGAGGTAGCGTTTGAGCTGAGTTTTGAAGGACACTAGGGGTTCCAGGAGAGAGAGGTGTGGAGGAAGAGTACATTGTAGGCATAGGATGATGGCCTTTGCCACTTTATAAGGGGCCGGTTTAACCAGACTGAAGAGTGCATGAAGGAAAATAGGATATAATACTGACTGGAAAGGGGGACTGAAGCCAACTTGAGAGCACTTGAAATATAAACCTGAAGACTTTGTATTTGAGCCTGGGGGTAATTAGGGAGCCACTGGGTTTTGCTGAGCAGGAGAATGCGATGGTCAGCCCTTGCTTTAGGAATTTTGCTTTGGTGGTTGGATGGGGGATGAATCAAAAACAAGATTTTGAGGACTTCTTTAGTTCTGGGTTATCTCTGTAGTTCCTGATTTGTTATGTATGGCACCTTCTCACTTCCACCATGCTCCTCTCCAATGCCCTCTGTGTGATATTCACTTTTAATCCTTCATAAACAGTGGTGTCCTATGACTTGGAACCATCTAATAACACTAGTAGAATATAGGTATTAAATTGATGGGTGTTGGGATGTCATATGAGATAGAGGTGAATTATTGCTTTCTTATTAGATAAATGTGAATTATTATTATGTAACTATTATTATGATGGTGATGACTGTTCTCATCATTGTTACTATTATCTGCAGGTAACTTACCTACTGTGGTAGTGCTGAATACTGCAAATGAATTTGATAGAATAAATTGTTTTTTGTCAAAAGGATTACTAATATACTTACCCAGTATTTTCTTTTTCTTCCAGTCAAGGACCCTTGTCATCCATTAGAGCCGTAATCAAGAGAAGTAAGTTTGTTTTATTTCCCCCTCTGTGTTTTGTACTGTTCTAATTTCAAATGGTACCTTAGATTTCCAACAAGTGTTTCTGTTTTATAAGGAGTCTAAGTGACCCAACTGAGAAACGTAAAGAATAATAAACCACCAGACAATAATAGTGGTTTTTCTTTGTTTTAGACTCTCTCTTCCTTATGAATGAGTTCTTTGGAACAAGAACATTTTCTTGCCTGAACTCACAGTACTGAGCTAGGGTCATTTTTTTTTTTATTGTTAGATTCTAGGGTTCAATCTACCCTGTGAGACAGTGAGTAGAAAACTGACTGGGAAGTGGAGGACTGAGGTTTGAATGCTCTCTGTGACCTTGACCTTTTTGGGTCTTAAGTTTCCTCATCTATAAAATGGATGGATTCCAAGGTCCCTTCTAACTCTAAATCCTTGTTCCTACTTAATTCATTAATTAATAATAACTAACAATTATATAGCATTTACTATGTACTAGGCACTGAGCTAAGTGCTTTGCAAATATTATCTCATTTGATCTTCATAATAACCCTGTCAAATACATGCTATTATTATCCTCATTTTACAGATGAGGAAACCGAGGCAGAGATTATGTGACTTTCCCAGGATCACATAGCTAGGAAGTCTCTGAGGCTGGATTTAAACTCATGTCTTCCTGAGTTTAGGTCTGGTGCTCTATCCGCTACACCACCTCACTGCCTCAGAAGTGTGTGTGTGTGTGTATTATTTCTCTGTTTCTTATCCTATAATATCATTCTATATATGGAAGAGATATAGACTAATGACATTTTAGTGATTATTTTTAAAATGTCCCACCCTGTCCTTTGACACATTCTAGTTATCTATGTATATTCTTCTTTGGGAGTTATCATGATGCAATGGAAATATCATAGGACATAGGAGTTAGAAGAGTGGGTTTGAATCCCAACTCTGCCACTTATTACCAGGGTGTGACCTTGAGCAAATCCCTTGCCTTCCATGGGGAATCCTTCAGATCCTCATGTCCAGAAAGAGGAAGTTGGAGTAAATGAATTCTAATGTCTCTTCAACCCTAAATATATGACCTTGGGATCTTTTGAAGCTACATTTACAACTACACACAGATGCATGAGATTTTTGCACTGAGATCATAAAAGAGGCCAATATGTTATAACTGGGAAAAAATGAGTTTAGAATCAGATTACCTAGGTTTAAATTTCAGCTCTTCTATTTGCTCAATCTGTGATCTCAGTTAAAACTTTGCAGGTGGGTCAGTGGGGTAGTGGATAGAGTGCTAAACTTGGAGTCAGGAAGTCATGAATTCAAACCCTGCCTCACATACTAGCTGTATGATCCTGGGCGAGTCCCTTAGCTTCTTTCTGCCTCAGTGTCCTCATCTGTAAAATGGATATCACAAGAGCACCTACCTCCCAAGTTTGTTGTGAGGATCAAATGAGATAACATTGTAAAGCACTTTGCAAACCCAAAAGCGCTATATAAAATGCTAGCTAATATTAAGTCACTTGCCTGGGTCTAATTTTCCTCACCTGTAAAATGAAGAGGTTGGATTCGATTGCTTCTAAAGCCCTTTCTAACTTTAAATCTTTGATCCTGTGATCCTATAATTACATTTGACAACAGCTAAGAGTTTTGCATAGCATTTTGAAGCATTAATTAAAAGGTGGTAGAAATTCATGAACATAATTCCAAAGGGAGAGGAAAAAGTCTTGTTTGGAGGAATTCTTAAAAGCATGGAATAGAAGCTTTTAATTCAGCAAAATAACAAATACTTATTAAGTAGCTGATTAAGTAGTACAGGATACTGAACTGGGACCTGGAAAGAAGAAAAGAAAGATCTATGAGTTTGTAAATAGAAGGAACTCTTGGTATGGGAACTACCTCCTTTAAAATGTAGTTCTGAAAAAAAAAAAAATGTAGTTCCGGAACCTATCCGTGACTTAGTAGGCAAGTCCTGGAGAGTTACTTGATATACACAGAAGTTAACTGACTTGCTCAGGATCACGCAGAAAATAAATGTCTGAGACTGAATTTGAACTCAGGTCTTCCTGACTCTGAGTCCAATGCCTCAAACACTGCCATAGGTCCAGGGGAAAAAGCAATGCATCAAAAGACTTGGGCTCAGAACACTTCCCTCCTACTTCCTTCCTGTGTTACCTTTCACAAGTCTCTATCTCTCTCTGGTCCCCAGTTTTCTCACCTGTAAGTCCCTTCTATCTCTAAATCCTACTAAAAAGGGGTTTCCATTGAGAATGGAAACTAGCCAGCCTACATTAGCATTTCTAGCCATGGGCAAAAGGATAGAGACAGGAAAGAGATTCATGGAATACACTTATATTTATTCCATTTAAACTGTCCTGCTAGCTGTTCCCAAACCTTGACATTCTTTCTCTCATTTATTTGCGTGAGCCAAGAACTCTTCTTCCGACCTGGATGGAATGCACTAATCTCTTCATCTCTGTCTCTTAGAATGCTTATCTTCCTTCAAGGCTTCCTCAGCTCAGGCTTCTCCTCGTCCATGAAGGTTCGGTCTCTTCTTTTGCACATCACCTTGTTTTTACTTCTCTGGGTTCTTCTTGTATCATACCCTCCTCACCCTAAAGTAGTCTTCTTTAAGCCTGGGACTGTTTTTTGTTTTGTCTTTCTGTTCCCAGCACCTAGCACAATGCTTTGCTCATGGTAGACACAATAAATGCTTGTTGAGTTGAATTGAAATCCATTGTATTAGCTTTGGCCCTTCATCTTAGCCAGTTGAGATCTTTCACTTTTCTCATGGTGTTGTGAAGATAATGCTTCCTAAAACTCAGTTTTCTAGGAACATGAAGTATTACTATTGTTATTGTTATCATTATCATTATTAATCAAAGGATTGTGATAAGCTTCTTATGCAAAGCACAAGATGCCTACAGCTACTCAATACACCCAGATCTGTTAACTATCAGTCCTCTATAGAGATTGAGAAGGGCTGCTAGGTGGTGGGGTGCCGGGCCTAGAGTCAAGAAGATTTATCTTCCTGAGTTCAGATTCAGCTGTGTGACCCTGGACAAGTCACTTCACCCTGTTTGACTCAGTTTTCACATCTGTAAAATGAGCTGGAGAAGGAAACAGCAAACCACTCTAGTATCTTTGCCAAGAAAACCCCAAATGGGGTCGAGAAGAGTTGGCCACACCTGAAATGACTGAACAACAACAACATGTTTCATTGGATATTTGTCTGTTTAAACATATAATTCTAGAGGTAGAACTTAAAGGAAGGTCAGAGACCATCTGCTCCAGCTCCTTCATTTTATAGGTGAGGAAACAGTTGCCCAAGGAGTTTAAGTGACTTGTCAAGGTCACACAGGTGATAAGTATCCGAGACAGGATTTGAAACTAGGATCTCTGATTCTAAAGCCAGTGCGGATGTATTCCTAGGACTCTTTCTATGATAATTCAGTAGGCCCTTGGAATCTTGGTTAACTTTTCTCCTCTTTGTGGGAATAAACGGTGGTTAAAAATCACAGATGTGCTTGGTGCTAGTTCTTTTCAGAGCATAGGCAGCCTGGTTCCCTCTTTTTCTCCCTTTCCCCTTCTGTAACCCCTTCTTTTTTTCCCTTAGCACTCATGAATAGTGCACAGAAAAAATGCCCCGTGGAAGAGGTATGTCTACAATGATAACATGATGTCTTTTTAAAGTGTTATTTGTACCTGGTGCCTGTGGAGAGATGATTGTGTTACACTTGGGGTGAGCTTTTCCATTAACAGAATTCCATTGTGAATCAGGTTTGCTATTGAAAGAGTCAGCCTCACTCTACGCTTTTAAAAAGTATAACTAAATGAACCCTGAAACTGGTCTAGCTCTTCAACAGTGGGAAACAATCAAACCAGCTCAAATTGTGAATCTGGGAGAGCCTCTGGGTTGGAGGATTCAGGATTGGCATTTTCAAAATATTCACAGTCTATCCCACCAGCCTGCCATGAATTCAGCTCTCTTCCTCCTGCTCCCTGGGCTGATTCTGACCCAAGCCCCAAGTATGTTTGCCGCCACACTGCCTGTCCCAGGACATACTTTTCTTATTTAAAGGAAGATTTGCTGGAGACAATCAGAAGCTACTAAATGATCTTAAAAATGGAAAAGAGAGTAAACCCTCAATGAGGTTCTTTCTGAGTATTATATGAAGAATTGAAAGAGCATTGAAAAAGAGAGCACTTTGGAGAGAAATATAGGCAGCTCTTAGAAGGATTTGGGATGGGATACAAATTCCTTTTTGTTCATCAGTTTTTATTATTGGGATGGTATAGTATTTGGATTTTCCTACCTGTGAAAACCTGCAGAGGTTTCCCAATCAAGATGAACTTTATATGACAAATTTAAAATATTCTCATTAAGAATAGGTTTGATTTACCAACCCCCCCCCAAAAAAATGAAGTTAGACCATGTTATCATGTTTTACGTTTGAGATTGGGGAGGGGGGAGGGAGATTGTAAATAACTGAGAGTTTCCATTAAGCAGTACTTGCTGCATATGTAAAGATGTCTTAATTATACATTTAGCAAACTGATTTGAATCATTTTAGGTTTAATCATTTACTTTTTAACCACCTCATTTTAAAATAATAATAATAATTTTAAGGCTGTGAAATTTCAAAGAGTGAGTAAATAACAACTCATTGATTTATCACACTTACTCTGTTTATAGTAGAGTTGTAAAGGAATTCCTGAAGTTTATTCTTTCTTATTCAACCCAAAAAATGAGGACTGTTATCTTTATCTGACATCATAAAAATTTCTTTGGTTTATTTTTGTATTTAAAAATTATATTTTTTTAACATCAGGAGCAAACTAATCATTATTCTTTCAGTGGGTCACTCAGTGATGATTCAGAGATTTACAGAATATTATTTTGTGACTTTATGATAAGTTGTGGTTTTTTTTTCCCTCCATAGCTTCTAGGACTTCCGTTCATGGTGATCCACACCGAGATAGGAGGTACATAAAAGTTACATATCCTTTGAAATAATGTGTATATTTATTACATAGTTTTAAAAAAAAGTAAACAGGGTGAAACGGAAATTCATATTTTCATATTGAACCCTACTTTTGTGTTGGGCTGTGTACATGGAAATTTTGTCTTTTTGTATTAAAGTTCAAAATTAATTTTAAAAAATTATAAATGATATGTCTTGTTAATAATTGAAATTAAAATTTGCGTTTAGTTAGCATTAGCATCTTTCACAAGGAAGATATTGCTGTATTCATTCGTTCATTCCACATTGAGTGCCTGTTTTGTTCACCATGGTAGATACATGGTCCTTGCCCTCATGGCGTTTACAATCTAGTAAACCACCTAATGGGTGCAATCTCTCCTTTAGTCTGTGATGATGATTAGAGATCATGGGATCATGGATTTAGAGCTGATAGGGAAATAGAGTTCATTGAATCCAATACCATGTTTTTCATGTAAGGAAACTGAGGCTCAGAGACACTTAAGTGACTTGCTCAGTATCATACAACTAGTAAGTGGTTAAGGGAGGACCTGAGCCTACGTCTTCCTGACCCTTAGTACAGCACTCTGTCTATTATGCCAATTTGGGAGGATGATGATGGTAATTTTACATGAATGAAAAGGGCCACAGAAGACCTTAAAGCTGGCATAAGGAAAAAAATCAACTAGATATAGTATTTAAGTTGTTTACAGGACTGTTTTTGCTCATGTCAGTGACTCCCTGCTTCACAGGGGTCATTCATCACTCATACAGCAAGGATTTGTGAAGTACATGTTATGATTGGGTTACAAAGAACCAAAATAGTACCTCCCTCAAAGATGGCACATGCATGGATGCCTTTCCATGTTGCCTTCATTATTGTCTCGTTTTGTATGTTGTTCATGCATACTTTTGTCTCTATTTTCTTCACTCTGCATCCCTTCATATCAATCTCCTGTTGTTTATTTGAATTCTTCCCATTCATCCTTACTTTACTCGTGTCCTAGTCATATTTCATGGGGCAGCTAGGTGGCACCATACTGGATAGAGCATTGGGCCTGGAGTCAGGAAGACCTGAGTTCAGATATGACCTCAGTTCAGTTCAGACAAACCCCTGGGCAAGTCACATAACCCTGTTTGCCTCAGTTTCCTCATCTGTAAAATGAGCTGGAGAGGAAATGACAAACCACTCTAGTAACTTTGCCAGGAAAACCCCAAATGGAGTCACAGAGAGTCAGACGTGACTGAACAACTGAACAACACATTTCAAAGGACCACCCCAGCAGTCCCTGTGCCAGTGCTTTGCACGTAGATGTGCTCAATAAATATTTGGTCTTTTGGCTCACAGACTCAAAGACTCAAAGAACCTTTGAGTTTTCAGGCACTTGGGAATTCATCTGGTTCAACTCTATTTTTAAACAGTTGAGGTAACAGACCCAGAGAAAAATAAATGACTTACTCAAAGACACATAGCTGGTTAATATTAGAACAAAGATTTGAGCCCTGGTTTTTGTACTCCTGATTCTACTTTTAAATTGAATTAAATGGCTGTTCTCTGGATAACTTTTATTTCCTCAAAAGAACACCTGAAATGAATTGCTAAGTTAAAGTAACCCAGTATTAAATGTCAGGAAGAACTTAATCAATATTCTTAAAATTAAAATGCCAATTTGATCAAAGGTCAGAGTCTGTTAAAAGTATTATGGAGCCTATAAGTTTGTGTGTGTGTGTGTGTGTGTGTGTGTGTGTGTGTGCGCACGAGCACTGTTTTGAAAGACACTCTTTAGTTAATTTGGTTAAATTTAATTCCATAAATATTTATTAAGCCTACAATATGTGCCAAAGTAAGCCAGCAAAACCCTGGAAAAGCTCCTTGCTTTTCCAGAGCCTTTCCAGAAAACCAGTTCTTGCAACAGTCTAAATGCTTTCTGATGATCAGTCTAACCAGTTAAGGCCACTCAGTGATGGATTCTTTGGCTATTGCAACACAGAAAGCAAAGAAAAATTTAATATGGCATTTAGTCCTGTGCATTCCCTTCCACTTTACAGTGACAGTGGAAAAGTGGTTGGAAAAAGATGCACTGAGACATCTTTTTTTTAAAAAATTATTTAATTAATTTATTTTTGGCTAGGCAATGGGGTTAAGTGACTTGCCCAGGGTCACACAGCTAGTTAAGTGTTATGTGTCTGAGGATTTGAACTCAGGTCCTCCTGTATCCGGGGCCAGTGCTCTATCCACTGCACCACCTAGCTGCCCCCGAAACACTTTTTAGATGGCGTGTAAATGTTAGAGGCAGTGTCATGGACTGGAGAGGGAACTGCCCTGGCTCCAGGATGACCACAGTTAAAATCCCACCTCTTGCAGTTATGGCTGAAGGTTAGCAGGAAGCTATATTGTTTGAGCTTCAACTTGAGCCTTGCCAATCAACTCCTTTTATGGAAAAACTAATCTAACCGACATTGGGGGGTACCCTCAATGGCATGTCTGGCTGGTGTAGTCCTGTCGCAACGTGATAAGGACACCAGCCCGTTCTTTCCTACATAGCGTGCCTTGGTGCTGCAGAGGGAGACTCTCGCTGGATCGGGATGGTCCGTTGGATTGACCTAGTGCTCCGTTCGTGATGTCTGTCTGTGCCTCGAGTGTAAAAGGCATGATAACAATTCTGTGGATAAAGCTAATCTTTGGATTTAAACCTGCAAAATCCTAACACGGCTTTTGTCCACTAGGCGCCCCGAGATCACCATTGTGGCCGCTGAGCCCCTCAGACCGGCTTCTTGGTTCCCAGGGGCCTCACCAGCATTAGGATTCCCACCTTCTCCTGCTGCAAGTCCATGGAGAACAAGTGAGCTTATTCCTTCTGAGGTCAGTTTGCATTTTCTTTTGAAAAAGAGTTTTGTTTTGTTTTTTAAATGAAACCGGCTGCTGTGACCAAACTGAAAGAGCACGTCTGGCCTCAGAGAAAAGATGAAAAAATAAACCTCCTTCCTTTCTTGGTGGAGGTGAGGGACTATGGGCATGAAACACTAGATGCGCCATCAGAGTTACTGGTAAATGTGTTGGTTAGTTTTTGCTGAACTGTTTTTTCTTTTCTTTTTTATTCGTTGTTACAAAGGGACGGCTTGTGGGGTATGGGGGGAGGGGATATATTTGAAAATAATGATGATAGAAAAACAAGTTATCAATAAAAAAATTTTAAGTAAAGTTTTAAAGCTTTTTAAAAGTAAATTTAGAGATAAAGAAAAGAATCAGAATACTGATTGAGTTAAGGTTTGCCTGTAAATGTATAGGCATGAAGGGATTAAACTATGTTGAGCTGAATTCTTTATTTCACAGCTTCCACCCTCTTATGAGCAAGTGATAAAAGAAATCAACCAAGTCCAAATCAGTACCGGGAGTAATAGTAATGCTCCCACGACGCCAAGGCAAACCATCACTTCTGCAACTCAGACAGACTTTCCGGAGGAGATAGGCAACACCCTGTCTGGAAGTAATGCAAGTAAGCCACCTGCCCCTGGAAAATCCAATCCCTCTCTAGGTAAGTAGTTAGAATTTTTTTTTCTGGGGGGGGGGGGGGGGGGGGGGGAGTCCGAAGCTGTGATTTTGTTAGTGTAGAAGACTCCCAGTATAGAAATTCCCTCCACCGATGCAGATCATAAACTTATCTCTAAATTACAAGCTTACAAATTTGCTTGGGGCATGAGAGGTTAAGTGACTTGTCCCAGGTCACACACGCGCCATATGTGTAGGTGACAGTATTTGGACCAATGTCTTCCTTACTAAAAAGTGTGCCCTCTATCCACGAGGCTTGAGAAAATTGAAATTTAGGGCCCAATTTCATTGAGTCTTACTTCCCAACCAGTACGATCCTAACTTGCATTCTTCATTTGGCCATGCATCGGTGGCATTCATAAGTCTCTAAAGACGTGACAATGCTGTCTCTGCCTCATATGGCCAAGATGCACTGCCATTATTGCTTTCTACCCTGACTTCCGCCTTGAGAATGTATTACATTTTAGCCCCTGAATGGAATTCAGTGGAGGGAAGTATGATCTTCATCCTGGATTTCTTTAAAAAAAAAAAAACAACAAAAAACATTTCATTAGTGTGGCAGAGGTGATTGGTGTTTACCCTGAAAAGTAAAAGAAAAACAGCATCACGGCATTTTAGAACCAAGAATGGTAAATGTTGGAGGTATATCACCTGCAGGGAAATTATTTATGTGATAAGTTTAAGTAGAGTGGGGGAATTTAATGATTTTTTTAAATGTAAATAGCTATCTCTTTATAATCAGGAAGCTGCACATGAATGTTGTGGGTTTTTGCCAATGATCCTAAAATTACTTTTTGCTAATTAAGAAAATTAAAACCTGATGGTATTCCACATCTATTAAGCAAAAAACTGCTTGTCTTCTATTAAAAGCTGATAATGTGCTTTGAAATACTAATGTTATAACTTCCTTTTGGTTTGGTATCTTCTTTTTAGCAGTTCAGCCTCCTCCCAAGCCTTCACAGCCATCTTCGCTGTCCTCAACCAGTAGTCTTTTGAAAGATGTGGCTCCTTTAATCGTCTTTGATGCCATTGAGGAACAGGCTTACCGAGACAGCCCCAATGTTGGGGCATGTCCAGTTCCCAGGCCAAGATCAAAAACCAATCTCAAACCTATAGTCAGAGACATTCCAAGCAACATAAGAGACCATCAGGAAACTACTCAACCAGCTGTAAGACGGGGAGCATCACCGAGTCAGTCCCTGTCCTTGTTAGACGGGAGCAACTTAGAAAGCCAAACAGCGATAAACAGTATGAGCACAGAAAGAAACCAAGCTAGTATTGTTTCACGGATCAAAGCTTTTGAATCCCAACCAAATGCTGAAACCTCAGGATTATCTAAGAAACCAGAAATTGCTCCCCGGACATTACCCCCGAGGCCTGCTGTTCCTGCAGGAAAACCTACTGTGGCTCCAAAGCCATCCATTCATAGAGCTTCCGGAGAGTGGGACTCATCGGCTGAAAACAAACTCAAGACTGCCTCCAAGGAAGGGCCCTCTCCACACTTGCACCCTCAAGAAGTGGGAGGCATCCCAGTAACCAAACCTGAATTGCCAAAGAAACCAAAGGCTGGCCTTGTACAGAGTATCGGTAATGGCCCACTGGACATTCTAGGAAGCAAGCTATCAGTAGAGATCCCTGAGAAGGAGAAGAGAATTCCAACTCCGGCACCACGGCCTTTACCGCCGAAGAGATTACCGTCTTTAGAAGACCCTGCCTTTCCTGCCCCTCCATTGAAACCAGCCACTGCTTCTCCTAGGCTCTCTGTGGCAGCACAAACCAGAGCTTTCAGGTCCCTGGGAGAAGGGCCAGCAGCAAGCACACCTCCCCCTTCCTCTCAGTGCCCACCAGTGGGAGAAGCCGATCTCATCAGTTTTGATGATGACGTTCTACCTGCTCCGTCAGCTAACCTGGCTGAAGAACACCTGGGTTCAGAGATGGACCTGGGTAAGTGGGGGAGGAACAGGACATCAACATGGGATGTTTTCACGGGGGCTCTTTGCATTTTTGATTTTGAGAATTTTGAGTTATTATCACAGGGGGAGAGGGAAAGGGAGAGAAGGAGGGAGGGAAAGGACTGATGAAACAAAATAAAGCCATGACAGGAAAGGTGGTTGAGGGGAGGGATGAAGATAAGAGGAAGTTGGTAAATTCTGTTCTAGACATGTTGAGTCTGAGATGATGGAAAGAAGTGCATTTCAAGTGAATTGAATTAATTTGGCAGCCTGGACTAGACTTAATAAATTTAGGTCCAAATTGCCAAAATTATATCTGTATGTATATGGGGGGGGGCATTATTTGGTTGGGTCTTTTGGGGCAGAGGGGAGAATCTAGGTCTGTAATTTCATCAATGTAAGAAACATCTGGTGTGGAATTTCCCACCCCCTACCTGCTCCCTAATGTAGATCAGCAATTGCTCTGTGGCTTTTAGTCTTAGCTTAGTGTCCGCTTAGATACTTAACATGCCACACTGGAGTTGGTACATAATTTGTTTGTATGTGAAGATATGACTATGTGTGTGTATGTGTATAAATATGTGTGTGTATGTGTGCACACACACATAGCCGGTGTGTGTTAGAGGCAGGAGATATACACGGGTCTGGAGGAAGGTGACATGGTATAGTGCAGAGGACACCAACCTTGCAATCAGGAAGACTTGGGTTCTAGTTCTGACTCTTACATGTAACCACTATTAGGGTCTTTGCCAGGTCATTTAATTTCATAGTGCCCCAGACAGTTCTTTGAGGCTATAAATTACAGGTGAGCTGCTGATCTCTTTTGATGAATGAGGCTTCCATATTGGAAGTTCCCTATCCAGGTAAAATCACAGGTAGAGATTTTTTAAAAAGTTTTTGTAGTAAAAGCTACAAAATGGGGCATCTGACCTCTAAAACATATTCTTGTGCAAAAGAAATCGACCTGTGCCCATAAGGAAGTGTACCATTTTATTACATGCTATTCAAATTGTTCAGATTAGGCAAACGAGTGCATTTATCTACTCTCCTTTACACAGAGAATGCAAAACTTGTTCACATTCAGTTCCATTAAATTCATCAAGTATTGAGAGCTAGGGAAACAAAAGACAAAAAATGAAACCTGTCTTTAACTGTAGCTTACATTCTAGTGGAGGAAACAGTCTGCACACAGATGAGTACACAATGCAGTAGTAATAACAATGAGCTGACATTTATAGAGAGTCTTAACATTTGAAAAACGCTTTATATAATTCACTCATTTATTTCTCACAGTGACCCTGTGAAATAGGTTCTCTCACTAAACTGAGGCTTTGAGAAGTTAAGTGACTTCTGTAAGGTTACATACATGGCTATAGGTGTCTGTGGTAGTGTTAGAAACAAGGTCTTTGTTGTTCAGTCATTTCAGTTGTGTGTGATTCTTTGTTGGCAAGGATAGTAGAATGGTTTGCCATTTTCTTCTCCAGCTCATTTGACAGATGAGGAAACTGAGGCAAACAGGGTTACATGACTTGCCCAGGGTCACACAGCTAGCAAATGTCTGAGGCCAGATTTGAACTCATGAAGATGAGTCTTCCTGATTCCAAGCCCAGTACTCTATCCACTGTGCCACCTCACTACTCATGATACAGGGTCTTCCTGACTTCAAATTCAGTGCTTTATCCACTATGCCGCATGCCTCCACATTTATAGTTTATGTGTGTATGTGTATGTTAGTGTGTTATTTATTCATATATTAATTATCTACATATTCATAAATTCCTTTATCAATACATACAGATTCAATATGAAGTGATTTCATTGGAATGACAGTGTTAACAACTGGGGATTTGGAGAGTTCTTATGTAGAGAGTGGCACCTGCGCTATCCATCAGTTCTCCTGGTTTGAATGATTATTTTTATACTGACAATTTTCAAATCTATTTATCCAGCCCAAACCTCTCTCCTGACCCTCCAGCCTCACATCTCTAACTGCCTGTCAGATATCTCAAACTGGATCTTCTGTAGATATCTTAAATTTGGCATGTCTAAAACTGAACTCAATGATATTCTCCCCTAAACCCTTCCTATTCCAAGCCTCCCTATTACTGTCCAGGGTACCCCCACTCTTCCAGTTTCACAATCCATATGTCATCCTTGACTCCACACTCTGTCTCACTCCCCACATCCAATCTGTTGCCAAGGCCTGTAGATTTTATCTTCATAACATCTCTCTCACATAGGCTCCCTTCTCTCTGCCCGCCATCACTACAGTACAGGCCTCATCATCTCGTGTATAGACTACCACAATAACCTGCTGGTTGGTCTCTCTACCTCATGTCTGTCCCCATTCCAGTCCATCAATGGCTGTCACTCCATTCAACTGTCAAATTACTCTTCCTAAAGCACAGATCTGACCAGGTAAACCCTTTATTCAATAGACTTCCCTTCAGGATCAAATATGAAATCCTTTTTTTGACATTCAAAGCCCTTCTCTCTTTCTTATCTGCTCTTCCCCCCATCCTACGCTCTTTGGTCCATGATACTGGTCTCCTTGCTCTTCCTCAAACAAGGTGTACCATCTCCATTGTTCCTGCCTTATGCTTGAACTACTCTCTCCCCATCACCACCTCATGGCCTGACTTTTTTTTTTTTTTTTGGGGGGGGGTTAAGCAGTGGAGTTAAGTGACTTGCCCAGGGTCACACAGCTGGTAAGTGTTATTGTGTCTGAGGCCAGATTTGAACTCAGGTCCTTCTGAATCCAGGGCCGGTGCTCTATCCACTGCACCACGTAGGTGCCCCTTGTAGCCTGACTTCTTCAAGTCCCTGCTATCTTCTACAAGAAGCCTTTCTTGGTGTCCCTTTATACTAGTGCCTTGATTTTAATTTATCTATAATTTGTTATTGATTATCTGTAATTTATTCTAGATTATCTATAATTTATCCCGTGTATATCTCATTCATACATAATTGTTTGCGTGTTGTCTGTGTCGTTAGACTGTTAATTCCCTGAGAGCACGGACTATCCTTTATCTTTCTTTGTACTGCTGGTACTAAGCATAGTACCTGGTAACATAGTAGGCACTTAATAAATGTTTATTGATTGATTAAAAGGGAACAGCCTATGTAAAGTCACATGCCCATAATTTGGGTAGGTTAAATATCAGAGACCTAATCTTTTTTTTAATGTTGTATTGATGATTATTTTTATCATAACAAATAAGTATATTCCAACAAAACAAATCAAGGAATTTGTCATGTCTTAAAACGTATGTCTCATTCTACACCCCAGTCTACCTCCTCCCTGCCAAGAGATTAATTGTCACCAATAATCTTCCCTGAATAGTCTAAGATTTTTTTAAGTAAAGGGCGGATGATATGGATTTTGAGCCTAAAGAAAGAATAATTACATTACACAGAGGCAGAAGATGTCATCCTTTATGCTTGATAAGGAGGAAATTGTGACAGTCTAAGATGTTTTAATCCCATTTATCTGTGATTTATTAAACAAAGTGCTGCTATGGTGAGCCCTGATAAGCTTCCTTTTCCTACTGTTTATATGTTGACTTCTTTGAAGGAAGTCTCCAAAGGGTGTTATTTTGAGGCCACGTAAGCCTAATGGTATACTCAAAGAGCTGCTATCAGTCTTTTATAAACAACAACGTTTATCCAAGACAGCGCAGGCTTCCTGATTTCACAACCACATTCTCCATGTTGTATTTGCTCATTATTTTTGTACCAGCCGCCAAATATTTATTAAATCTCCATTGTACACATGACATTGTAACTAATTACATTAGAATATAAAAAGACACAATCCTTGCCCTGGAAAAATAGACAGCTCAGCACTAAAGACAACACCAACAGAACAAATGTCCCCATGGAAACACAGTACTTAAGAAAATACGTTGTGATGGTTTATTTTCTTTGGAATTCTTTTTGGATGGTTCGAGTTCCATCTGGGACAGGAGGACAGGGTGGGAATAGAGAGCCTAAATCCTAGTATTTTAGAGATAAAAATCTAGTCCAGTGACTTTATTTTACAGAGGAGAAAACTGAGGCCCGGGGAGAGAATGTAAAATGCCCAGGATCGCACAAGTTATTTTGTTAATGATACAGGCCAGGTCAGATCTTTCAGAGTCTTGGTTTTTGTTTTTGTTTTTGTTTTAGCTAGGCAATGGGGTTAAGTGACTTGCCCAGGGTCACACAGCTGGTAAGTGTTACGTGTCTGAGGCCAGATTTGAACTCAGGTCCTCCTGAATCCAGGGCTGGTGCTCTATCCACTGCGCCACCTAGCTGCCCCTCTTTCATAGTCTTTGAAGCAGCCCAGGGAAGAGTGTTGTCCTTTTTGGTGGAACGTGCTAATTCAGCAGGGGAAGAAGGAAGAGGAGACAAGGACTTCTATAATTTTGGAGGCTTTCTTTAGTGCTGTCATCGTTCATTCATTTCAGTTGTGTCTGACTCCATTTCCTTCTCCAGATCATTTGACAGATGAGGAAACTGAGGCAAATAGGGTTAAGTGACTTGCTCAAGGTCACACAGCTAGTAAATGTCTGAGGCCAGATTTGAACTCAGGAAGACTGATCTTCCAGACTCCAGGCCCAGCTCTCTATCCATTGCACCGCCTAGCTGCTTCAGTGCCCTAACCAACTCTCTTATGACTTTAAATTTCAGAATAGCTACTAATCCGCATAAGTAGAAGGATATTCTACACTGGGAAATCCTTACATTGCTTAATTTACTGGTCTGACCCTAGATTAAATTAAAGTAAAAATGAAATAATCTTCCCACAGAAAACTAAATAGTAGGCTTTGGTCATGTAAGGGGTTGAGAGGTGACCTGAAGCCCATTCTTATCTCTAGTACCTCCATTCCTCATCACTTGACCACAGTACTTTCTTCCATTCCTGGGGATGTACTGACTCCACATTTGCTCCTTCAAGAAATCCTAATCCACCTTTTGTCTAAATAATTCCAATATTTAACAGAGGAAGGT